GCCCCAGACCTGTCTTTAACACAAATGGTTGTAATTTTATTGAAATGAGGGACAGGCTGGCTGGCCTACTTTGAGTGCCAGTGATGATTCATCTCACTCCTCGCTTGTTAGCCTGTCCGTCACTGTAGTAGGTAATCTGTTCAGATGTGTAGATTATAGATGAAAATGGGCAGTCATTTATGTTTTTAAAGAAACTTTAATTTCACCTTTTGGGACAACCACTCAATCCTTGGTGGTATTTGTCAGTCAGGTGTCAATCAAATACTACACTTTTTCTAACAAATTATTAGATTTACATAAACAGTGTTCTTTCCACTTCAGAAGTAGAGAAATTGCATAGTCCATTACAAGGAGAAATCTTGTGTTAAAATTCTATGAAAGTAAAATTACAGGTCTGCTTGTAAAAATATTATCTATGACACATTTAGAGTATTATTGTCTGTCATATTATAAAAATGATCATGCCCCTCTGTCATCACCTCCTAACCATATATTCAGCTGGGACATGTGGTTTGGTGAGAGTAGTCCTGATAAAAAGACAGGAGTGGATGTGGCAGAGGTGGAGATGCTCAGAGTCTCTACTGGGGATTAGAAAAGAGTATATCAGACATCAATATATTGGACAAATATACTGTTGATGATAAAGATGGAGCTGCCGGGCAGGAGGAAAACAGGAAGACCACAAAGAAGATCCGTGGATAGTGAAGGAGGACATCCTGAGGGTTAGTGGGACAGAGGAGGATTTTCAGTTCAATTCAGTTCAATAAATTTTAATTATATAGCGCCAAATCACAAGAACGGTCACATCAGGGCACATAATATTGTAAGGTAAAGACTCTAATATATACAATATTTCAGAGACCCCACCCCCACCCCCAACAAACAGACAATCCCCTATGAGCAAGCACTTTGGTGACAATGGCAAGGAAAAACTCCCTTTTAACAGGAAGAAACCGTCGGCAGAACCAGGCTCAGGGAGGGGCAGCCATCTGCCGCGACAGGGTGGGGGTGAGGATGCTAGGGATCGGGTGAGATGGAGGCAGATGATCCAATGTGGAGAGAAAAAGAACACATGAAGTTGTCAATATTGCTGCATTTTACTGTTGTGGTCACACTTGAGCCAGGCTTGAGAAAAAAAAATCAGACAAATAAAGAATGATTAAAGGTTAAGAATAAATAAAAACA